ACTACCATGAGTTCCCTCTTTTCTTTCAGGACGATCTCCTGCTAGCTGCTTTGATGGAATTCCCAGACAAGCTAGAGGTACTCAGCTTCTGATTCACAATCACCTCATCTCCAAATAAAAGACCTGGAGCAGCTGAAGCATGCAAGTGCCACCTGTGACAAAGTCTTGAACTTAAGTCTTGAAGTTAAGGTTAAAAAGGTATAATAAGGTTTCTTAGAGCTCTAGAAATAGAGACAAATGTGAATCTTCATTTTTATTAGGTTTCTTTTTGTATTTAAGCACAAATCTTATTTTGAAATAGAAAAATATTCCTTAAGCTATTTCCACCAGTACTCCATTTAACTTCATATGCTTGTGCACATACGTATTCAACAGGGTTTTTGGATATATACAAAGAAGTGACTGAAACATCTGACATGGCACAGGTATGCATTAACGTATGATGATATGGATATGTTAAGAACAAATGTAAGCTAACTAGGCCTCCAATGACATAAACATAATATACGCCATTAATACGAACAGAGTCCATGCCAGACTTTATTTCCTAAAACTAAATATGTGCCCAAAACGACACTGGAGAAACTGCATTAATCTTAGGTAAGATTACAAGGACAGCAATGAATTGGTTTGCAAGGCCAAAGGGTGGGCAGTATCCCAAGTCAACTTCATTTCAATCAAAAAAGATGCAGATTAACTGACAATATAAAACCACCCATTTTATCAACATGCTTTGAGAGCTGCAACCTGCTCCTCTCAATTTTATCAACATGCTTTAGGTGCTGTAACTGGCTTGTTTGAATTTTAAAAGACAAGAATTTACCAGTTTCGGAAATTTTTGGTTCCGCCTAAAATAAAGAGGGACGAAATTTAATCTAAAGTTCCTTCCCAGTCTTATTTTTCAGAGTAACTGTTGAGATTGCTCCATTATGTTTTTAAAATTGATCACTATATCTGTGTATCTACAGTTAGAAACCTCAAATAAGCCAATGTTTTAAAACGTCTAAAGCTTTAATTCCCTTTAATTCTTAGAAATTAACGGGGGGGAAAAGCAAGAAATAAAATGATTAATGCAAGTGTGGTATGCACAGCCATATTTATTAGTTCACTTCCAATTACATAAAGAGAAAGCTGAAGCCATACACAAATGGTGCTTTAAAATAAAGACAGACTACTGTTTTCTCCAACAGTTTTATTTCAAAAAGTACACGAGTCTGTCATGGAACAACAGCATTTTAAAATTTTGGGGTTTGTTTTTACAAATTCACTCACAATACTTGTATTTTAAAATACCATTCCCCTATATATGTGAATATAAAACCTCATACTGAAATTTTTATCAATATTCAAGTCTATGCTTTGTGCATGAGAAGTGTAGTGTAACATTGCAATATTTTCAACTCCAGGAAATATTATTGCTCCAATTTCAATTGAGCTGTGCTTCATTGCTAGAGGACTGATAAGCCAACGGTCCCATAAAGCACCTATCGAGTGTATAAAACAAGGTTTGAGTGACAAATAGTATTATGTCTTTAGACTGGACCAAAAATCTAAAGTGATCCAGAATATACACCGTTAAGAAAAAAAAAACAAACAAACAAACAAAAAAACCCAACAAAACCTTATAACGGAAACCAGTAATATACAATATTCAGCATTACAGAAAAAGTTGCAATTAATAAGTCTTACTTGTACTATGAAGCAGAAAGCATACATCTAACATGAACGTGACTATCGGAGCTGATAAAGATGTATGCATTGTATATTTCTTTCAAAAGTCATGTTTTACCCTTCCAACAAGGCATTTCTGTGCACTACAGAGTTCTGGAATAAGCAATTCGTTTTTAGGTAAGGAAGTTTCACACAAATATCTTTAAATATCCATTTCATAAAGTTTACGAAAAACGACCGTAATGTATGGACAAGTGTTACGTAACCTCTACAGTATTACAAGTCTAACACCTTATTCACACCATGCTAAAATTGAGGGGTTTCTTCTATATATAGTCGTCCTCAACAGGCAAGTTTACAGTCATGACATTAACTAGAGGTTTCTTGAGTTCACTTAGAGTATTTACATAACAGTACCACCACCCTCCTCCCTCCCTCCCCTTTTTTTTAATAAAATGAGACATTAAAAATGCCACCTTCTAAACAGTACATCAGCTGCCATTACTTCCTCGAAGAGTTCTGTTAGTAGAATTCTCTGTAAAATTGGACACCTCAAATATGTTTAACCAGTTCATCTTCTACAGATGTCACTACTAAACTACAGTAGCTGCTTTTGAGAATCATAATCCAGTGTAAGTGAACAATCTATTGGCTAAAGAAATAATTTATAATAGCAGTATTATGTTTTCATAGTAGTGTTGTATCCATTCAAAAAGGCATGACAATAGCAACTTGAGGCAAAGTTTACCCCAAGTCAGAGGTTCTTTATTTCAGATAAGGACTATGTCAGATCCTATTTCTTCTATTTTCCATGCAATTACATAAATAGACAGACACTGTCAAGGCTGCTAAGCCTAACAGCTAGGCTCTGAGGGCACATCACACTGTCCTTCTGTTCTGCCCATTTATTATTTTGTACTAGCTGACAGAGCATTAAGCATGTGTAAACTCTGCTCTGTATGCTTTAGTGAGATAAGTTTCTGCTCGAGTGTCCTAGGGCTTACCTGACTGAAAGCATAGGGTCTCAGGCCAAACAAAAAGAACAAAAAAAAACCCAAAAGCAAACAAACAAAAACCAAAACCCACATCTAAACTCACATATGTCCACAGATGGCTAAGAACCAAATTCAGTAGGTTTGTTGCCTGGTTGCTTAGGTTTATAGCTACCTCTCAGTCTGTGATTCAGTTTAGATTTGTACTCAACTTGTATTTCTAATTACTATACCCTTTTAATTATGGAAGGCTTTAGTTTCAAGGTGTACAATCAGTGTACGATTAAAATCTCAGAAGTCTCTTCTATCACAATAATTGGATGCAAGATGATGTCTCCTCATCTATTGTTCTTCATAAGCACATGCTTGGCACAGTTACTAAACCTATTATTTACCACAGAAGTAAAAGTCAATCATTCATCTCATTGGTACAACAACTGAACAGTTTCAGGAATATAAACACTTAGATGACAATTAGCAATTGAAGGAGTAACTGACATTTTGAAATACAGAACAAAACAGGGAGAGACACTGAAGTCACATCCAAACATAGGCATGAAGAGGTATAAATAGTACATAAGAATCAAGAAATCAGATCACAGTGTCATGTTTAAAGAACCGTACCCATCATCTAAGCACCTGTTCAAACTGTTAAGTTTAGGCACCAGAAATTTCATAAAAACCAAAGTTACAATCAGGCAAAGTTTATTGAAAAGGCACACACGAAAGATAAAAAAATCTGATCTCCAACAGTATCAGTTTACAATCTAAAAAAGTCCCAAATGTGAAAAACTGTTAAGTCTAGAATACTTAATAGCCATTCAAGTTTCTAAATTCAGTATGAAGGGTATGTTCTTTACATTAATGGTGCCAGACAAAAATTGGGCACCTAACTACAGATAAGACAAACATTTAGTAGTAAGCCAAAGAATTTATCACAGATCTATAAGCAGCTACAAAAAGCAGACACTAAACCTAGAAGTTCAGGGAAATGTGTTCTCTCTCACTGTTGCTACGTACAACTAATCCTAACGTCTGTTAACAGCCTATTCGGATATTTCCTTCATCAACATCAGTACCACGTACTATACGCCTTTAGAGTTTTCCAAAATACCTTGCAGTTTAACATTTATAGCTAGAATAAGCTGAAGGGACTCTCTTCCTCCCACCCGCCAGCACAAGATGAGGAAGAAAGTAGAAAATAGGAAGGAAAAAAAAAAACAACCCACAAAGATTCAACGTCACTAAGCTTTAAATCCAGCTTCCACAGGTATCAGCCATCAGAAGCTATCAAAAGTCCTTAAGTACGTGTGAAAGAAAGATAAGGAATTGTTCTGTTCCTCCTGTAATGCTATAGGTTTGCAAAACTGGGAAGAACAGTTTTTAATCTTGAAACACAAGATTTGTATCAACAGTTCTGGATAACTATTTTCTCTCGGATTCTGGCTGCATGAAACTCTTGCTCTTAAAAGTCTACATGTCTGTTCATAGTATTTAGGGCTGCTGAAGAGGCAAGGAGAAATGAGATCTAAACTCCTTGCAAATTCATACAGAAAGATATTAGCATCTTAAGTAAAGGCTAACTACTTTTTACACGTGTATATGGGAAAAGATGTTTCCACAGAAATGTTAGAGCAAGAGGCCAGATATCACATACCGGTTACTTGACAGCTTTCATTAAAACCCCACGGTGCTTCTAGGTAATTGGTTTGGAAAAACATTAAGAGCCCTGTCTTAGAATCCAGGCTTTGGAAAATGCAAGGTACAGTGAACTTAAGAGCTGTACAGAGATACTGTGACAGTAACAGCTGCTCTACAGATTTTCAAGCTTAGATACCACTACCAACACCTTGTTAGGACCTCTTGCATCAGACAACAGAATTAAGGACTGGAACCCACTGTTACAGAAAAATTCATGTTTCAAAGGGCTTGCAAGGTCTCCTGTCACATTTCTACTCACTGAAATTTTAAATTCATAATAGAGTCATTAAATTAATTGAACCAATCAAGTAACTGGTAGCCCCTGAAATAAAAGCTCAAGAAGTGCTCCGAACAAACATTACCAGGTTAAAGAAATGGGTAAGCACTCAGAGCTTGAACAGAAATCAAAGTCATCCTCAGTATTTCAGCCCCCTGCAACTACATCAGACAGTGGCCAAGTTCGAATATTTCTGTTTTTCCAAAACTGAGAAGAAAGTTTCGGGTACTCTGAGAAACTTCATGGTCTACATACGAAACACTTTTGTTACTTCTTACTTGTGTCTTGCTGTTACATATTCAGAACTGCACGTTAGCTGACAGTGTCTCTTCAACCTATCAGAGGTCCAAACACCTTCAGTGTCTGTTATTTAGAAACTTCAATATTTTTAATCAGTTATACTGATTAAATAACTGTCATACACTAATAAGTTTAAAATTAAAAATGAGAATTGGTGGCTTTTCAACGTAACTTGTTCATTTTCTTCAAGGAAAATCGCATGCTATTAAACGAGGGATGGAACACAGTAGCTTTCTCTAATACTTACAATGAACACTTAAAAAACAGCATTTAAATTAATAATATTTTATACTATGGACCCATCTTTGCTTTGTGCTGGAATCATCACAGGAACAGCTCCCATTCTACTTAAATTAGGTGCAGCTACCTTTGAAGGTGCAAACGCTGGGTTTTGACCAGGAGGACGTTCAAAGTCTTCACTTGGGACTTGGCTATATGGAGTTTTGGTATATCCTTCCATATTTGAGGGAGACATTGAACCCAGAGAAGAACGATTGCTGCCTATGTAGCTCCGGGCTGTTGAACTGCGACTTTTTGGAGGTGGAACATCTTCTCTGAAATAAACAAAAAACAGTTGCAGAACAAGAGTTCAGTCACTATCATTATGTAGGAGCTTAAAAAACCCCAAATTTTCAGTTTTGATTCTTTCTGTTCTGACACAGTAGTCAAAAGAGGCTCACGTATTACTTAAAAAAAAAAAATCAAGTATTCATTGCCTTTAAAATCTTAACTGAAATCAGGCATGACTACCTACACCACATTCAAAACAAAGTTCTCTGACAAGCTGTTACTATGTTAATAGGCTTTCCAGATTAACACAGAAATCTCAACTGTTAAGTGTTTTACTTGCAGAAATACACATTTAAAAGTTAATCTTCAAATAATACCGCTCAGAAACAAGAGATATGTCATTACCTGATATCATGATGTACTTCTTTCTCATATTTCTTCTCTCTATGTTTCTTACAGCAACAGAAGACGAGAAAAGCCAGTACAGAAAGACCCAGCAGAGTTCCTATAATAGCTCCAGCAATTACACCAGCTGTATTTATAGCTAGAACAAATAACAATACTGTTTGTTAAGCGTCAAATTTATACAACCAACTTTTTTTCTCTTAATGCAACAGTAAAAAACAGTATGTTTCCACATGATCCAAGTTAATTGTCTATCACTGAATCACAGAGGGTATGCTTCAATCACATGCAATTAAAACAAGAAGAGTCACAGCTTTCTTCATAAAAAGCAACATTTTGGGAAGTAAAGAGTTGAAGTGGCAACCATCAGTTACACAACAGGGTTGGTTTTTTGGCCTTTCAGAAGTTTAGAGGAACAAGATTATTCAGTTTTAATACACAAAACACTATGTAACCATTACATAGCAAACACTTACGAGGGGTGACATGCAGCTCAATAGAACATTCATCCGTGCCAACTCTGTTTGAGGCAACACAATGGTATGTACCAGAATAGTCTTGAGAGGCATTTTTCAAGAGAAGTTCCCCTGTATTCTTATCTATGAACAACAAAAGGTAGAGGTTTACCATTTTCCAAAGTTTAATTCCATATTCAATACTACAGAATTATTAATCCAGCACATAGGTGAAATCTTAACTAAAAAACCGCTAAATATGTACAAAAATGTACAAATAAAAAAAAGTCCGTGTTAGAAATTTATTCCACAGCACTTGACTTGAGAGATCAAACCGCACTACCAGGAGGCAAGTTCAAAATGAAGAACAGCGTAAGGTTCTTCATACGTAGCTGACTGAGAAATGTGTTCTAAGATATTACAGATTCTAATAGACTACCAAAGTTTCAAGAAAACTGGAGAAATTCACAGAGGTTTGTTTTTGATTGTTTTAAATCAATTAAACTGAAGCCGCATCTGAATTTCCTGAGGCATAAATTACAGGACGGTAGGAGACCCCTATGAGGAAGAACCAAACAACTACTTACTCTCTCTCCCCTAGACATCCACTTCGGCTGCACTTAAGACACATGATACCACTTTGTTCTGTATGTCTTACAGAACCTGAGTTAAAATATGTTTATTTGTAAACAGGTTCTTAAATTGCTTCTCTGCAAGGAAACCTCACCATCTCAAGGTTTAAGGTTTTCATAACTACAAAGAAGATCAAAAAGAACTGGTACAGAGCAGTACTCTTCCAAAAAAAATATTCCAGAGTAACTTTCATAAAACCAAAACTCACAAATTAACCTTCTACAATGAAGTTCTCACAATAAAAATCCAATACCACCGCTGTAATAATTTGGAATCCATCATTCAAAATTCAGAATATATAACTCTATGTCAGCTCTTGTAAGAAGAGGGTAAGCCTTCTCTGTTACTTTTGACAATTTTTCTTCTAGAAACATGTACCCCTTTTTAAGCAAGAAGTTCTGTCGCTTGATTGGGAAGTGAAGACCGCAGTTTAATCTCAAAAAAAATTCAAGTTTTTGTCTCCACTTTCCTGAAGGCAGCTCTAATCAACTAGACTAGGGTCTGTTCTGATTCTTCTCTACTGTTCGCTTGAGCACAAAAGCGGCCAACATCTGCAAGCAAGAGAACTCACAACATTCAGGTATGGGTGGGCATGATTCTGCAGCCTAATGGTAAGAATCTCAACTTAAAGCTTGAAACATTTCCCAGTATAAATTAAAAAAATAAAACACAACTTGTTTCAAAGTTAGTTTTATTACCCAGTGAGAGGACAGAAGTGACACTTACCTTTACTACCCTATATTAATATTAAGCATGAGATGCTCACAAGTCAAGACAAGCCAAAAATACAAATGCAATCTTTCTTAAATATTTCAGAGTAATAAATAAAGTTTGACAGTACTCAGCATGGAAGTAGCAGGAAGATCCTGTGTGCCAGATACTCTTCTCCAGTCGTAAGACAAAAGTGGGGATCCTTCTTGTGACGCACATTTCAAGATGACGTCTTTTCCAATCTCATGTGGTCCTTCAACGGAACATTTAGTTCTTGCTGGCTTTACTAATAAAAAAAAGTATTATTGAATTAATAATAGTCACAATAAAAATGCTTACTAGTTGCGTTCTAGTAGGGGAGCCCACTTTGCTAAAGATAAAGCTTATGCAACAAACCATTTCTACACATGGGAAGATTTTCTATGAAATACAAATCACGTGCAGAATTTTTTAAAATGCTCACTATTCTGAATATTACTCCCTTCATTCCTCAGAACAGAATGATGTCCACCTCGCAAAGAGTCTCAATAATGGATGCATCATCATAAATTCAATATGACTTTGCCTGGCAGAAGTTTTTATTTTGTACATCAAACATAGGATGGAATAAACACATGAAGTGTCACTGAAAAATCAAGGAAAACATTATCTTACCAAGTACAGTCAACTGTATTTTTTGGCTTTGAACTCCAGGGGCCTTCTTCACTTTGCACTGGTATGTGCCAGTGTCTGTTGACTTTAAATTCAGGATATCCAATGAACCATCACCAGATTTGGGATCAGGACTAGTGAACTGCATCCGCCCAGTCATAGAAGCATAAAAATGATTATAAATCCTGTTTACAGCATACATAATTATCTATAAAAAAAAAGAAATATGATTCAGAAATCCACTTGCCATTTAAACATTCAAAATAATTTGGTATCATCAGATTCTTGACAGTTTCTTTGTTTTAAATAATCCCAGAAGCATGATATAGCCAAATATCTCAATCTTCAAAATATCACACACAGTACTCTAATGAACACTCCAACCAAACACTTGTCCAAGTAGCACCATGTCAGCACTGACTTCTAGCTGAAAGAAAACTGTCTAAAATTGCTCTAATCCTTATTCTGTCAAACCTTTCTACTAAAGGGAGTTATCTTCTTGATAAAGCTTCCAAAGAAAGAAAAAAGTTAATAACTAACAAAGAGTTAATATATGTAAAATCAAATTTCCATAAATCAGTTTTCAATCAGAAAAATAATGCAGGTACAAAAACACAGTTTCTCTTCCGTAACGGAAGTATTTTTAATTTTAGAGTTCTCTTTTAGAAGGCAAATTTACAGTGAAAAATTTATTCACATTTCACACTTAATCTGCTATTCCAAAACTTCCACTATATTTCATATGACTGATGCTTCAAAGTAGTTCAAGATCACAAGCATCCCAACCCGAAAAGGTGGAAGTTTAAAAAGTCAGTAACAAAGTTCATACACTGACTTACTCAAATAACTGAATTAACACTGCTCAAAAAAGTCTCTACTTACTATTTGTTCCTTCTTTTGATTATCTGCTGGTATCAATACCCACTCGATATCTAGTGGGCCTTCATCTTCTTCTGAGAGCACAAAAGTACATGGCAACGTAACTTTCTCTCCTTGTGCTTTTTCAAACATTGATTGCTCAGTTGAAGTTATGCTTAGGCTTCTTGTTAGACCTATAAAAATATATTTTTGTTTTAAAACCACTTCACACGTAGTTTTCACTGTAGGTGTTCTATTATATATTGGCATATATTCAACTCCATCATATACTTTTCCTGTATAGAAATCATGTCATTAGTCAGATTTGGCACCGCTTAAAGAGATCCTGTGCAGTACATCACTGAACACAACGCAGAGTCGTGTACTGCTCATTTAGAACCATATCCGACAGGCAGTTTCATCTTTCAAACCATACTTTTTTTTGTACGATTCAAGTTCCGTACGAAGCTAAATAAATCAAAAATTTTCAGCAGCAGGGTTTTCAAGTTATTAGAAAAAAATCACTCTACCACTATTCCCTCACTGGTAAAATGAAAGCATGGAACAGTGATGAAGTCTGCCAGGACGGACAGAATTATTGAGAAGTCCTGGGTTAGATCAAGTTAAGTTACTCTGTCTTGAGATATAAGGGCTGCTCCATCTACAGGGAGTGAATAAATGAATCCTTCCCAAAAATCTCAGTTTTCAGATTTGTTCACCTTGTCTTATTCCTCAGAAAAAAAGGCCTCCTCAAAAAAAAACCCAAATGTGTTTCCAAACAACAATTTTTCCTGAATTTAATCCTGAAAAAGAATCTATATAGTGACCCAGACTTACTCAAAAGGCCTGAAGTAAGATTCTCCCTTTTTTACAACAAACATAGGCTTCCCTCATCAAGCATATAGAGTCACGCATCGCAATTAGGAAGTGGAAAGCTCCACTTGCTCGTTACAGAATAGGTTTGGCACTTGTACATCCACTGTTGTCCACCTTGCTGGGTACCAAGCTCAGGTTTTTGCAGTCATTTTATGTGTGTAGGTTGTTGCCCATCATAGCTAGACAGTCACACAGATGCTACCACAGCCACAACAGATGCAAGGCCACAAGAAGAGTGATCAGTGAGAAGATACATTGGTTAGATGCATCTGTAGAATCACAGCCTCAGATGAAATACAATTAATAATTATTATAAACAGTGCATTTATGGTCTAACTTGCACTTCTGCCTATAGTAGAGAAGTTGTAGCGCACTTCTGCAGTAGATCAGACTGCAAGAGCCATCCTTCTGCTATACTAAAGATTTTGCTCTGCATCAAGTCTTTGGATTCTTTTCCTGAGGTATAAACAAAGAGATCTTTAACAAGTATTAAACAAATCTTAAAAAATCATTCAGAAAGAGAAAGCACCTGATATACTAAATTCCAGACAAAAGCCTCCAAGAAAGACCTTCACAATTGTTAATAACAAGCACACAGTTACAAATTAGGTAGGATTATTTCACTTCCTGCCATTCATGGTATTACTCTGCAGGGCAATACTTTCATTCCACAAAAAAAAAACAAGAAACATCAATCTGAGATACAAAAGAGATTTAGGTACAATGTTTCTTACCAACCTATGTATGTCTTTTCAAAGATAGTTCCAACAGGTTTGTTATCACCTCTTTTTGGACCACAGTAAACATATAGCATCGCTATAGGCTCGGGGAAGAGTGGCTGGAGAGCTGCCTGGCGGAGAAGGACCTGGGGGTCTTGGTTGACTACCGGCTTGATATGAGCCAGCAGTGTGCCCAGGTGGCCAAAAAGGCCAATGGGATACTGGTGTGTATCAAGAACAGTGTATCCAGCAGGAACAGGGAAGTGATCCTGCCCCTGTACTCGGCACTGGTGAGGCCGCACCTGGAATATTGTGTCCAGTTTTGGGCCCCTCGCTTTAAGAGAGATATTGAGCTCCTGGAGTGAGTCCAAAGAAGGGCGACTAAACTGGTCAAGGGGCTGGAGAATAAAACTTATGGGAAGCGTCTGAGAGAGTTGGGGCTGTTTAGCCTGGAGAAGAGGAGGCTGAGGGGAGACCTGATTACGGCCTATAAATACTTGAGAAAAGATGGTGGGGAGGTGGGGGAAGGGCTCTTTACATTAGTGATGGGTGATAGAACAAGAGGAAATGGGCATAAGCTTAGTCAGGGGAGATTCAGGTTGGATGTTAGAAAGTATTTCTTCTCTGAAAGGGTTGTCAGCCACTGGAATAGGCTGCCCAGGGAGGTGGTTGAGTCCCCATCCCTGGATGTGTTTAAGAATCGTGTGGATGAACTACTTAGGGATATGGTTTAATGGGGATTAGGGACGGTTGGACTGGATGATCTCTTAAGGTCTTTTCCAACCTAGAAATCTATGAATCTATGAATATCTGAGCAACTAATTCTCTACTGCTATGCTGAATTAACATTATTCTCAAAATGATACGGATCTCTATGAATACTGGTTGACTTGCCACAGATGCTATCCCCTTCTAAAGGATCCTTTCAGATCTTCAAGTGCAAATTTTAGTTTTTTCAAACTAGCCATTCTAAATCTCTTAAAAAGGTCATTTGACCAGTGAAATATATTACACTATAATCCTTAAATTTGGTCAGCTTTGCATAAAAAAAGACAGTATTACTACTAGCCATCATTTATAGAAATGGGTAGATTCAGAGTACATTCCTGTTTCCATAGAGCACAGAAGCAAAGAATGCAAATCCCTGATCGTTTTTTCAGGGTCTTCCATACTCTTCTGTTCCCCTCTCCCCCACTGTCTCATTAGGGAACTGTAATACAATATTCTCAGGTTCATCTCCAAATTGCGTTTCTGCATTTTCATTTTACTACATTAAAGGAGCGAGATGGCATGTCAAGTACACTTTAGTGACTGATGATGAAATACATTATGATATTACTTCCTTAAAAGCCTCAGAAATTCAAACTTCTCATTTTGAAGTAATAGTTAATCACTGAAGTTAATCACTTCTGCTCTGTGACAGCATCACCAGCAACAGTCACTTTGAAGTTCCACAACAAATGACCACAGGACATACATTTGCTTTCCTCTCCCCACCAGGGGACCTGATGAGGATTTCAGAAAGTGCTCAGTAATTGAAGTAAGAGGAACACAATGACATCTGCCTCTTCATGGTGGACAGCAGAATTCATACTTTGGAGATACTACAACACATCTGTACTACTAAAAAGTATAAAACCTCTGATTTTTAGTTGACGCTGAAGCTTACAACATGGCCAAAACAAACTGGACAGATGAGTATTTATATGTTGATTTTTTTTTAACTGATTTTCTAAACAAACAGGACTTGTACAACTGATGTTTTATTTATCTCCCTCTTCTGCCATTAATTGTTCATCTCTGACAATTTCAAATACAAAAGCAGAAATAACAGTCCAGTGCAACCAGAAGTCTCTAAAGTTATTAGTTTGTTCTGACATAGCTAAGAAGCGTTAGATTCTTCAATTATCTCTTGCCTCTTCATTGCCAGACAGTTTCATGTGAATATGATTTCAAAGTGGACATTACACAACCTGTTTCTCCTTCAGATGGCAGAACACTGAGAAAAGGAAGAAATACACTGAGAACAAGGAAGAAAAATTGTACTAAAAGCTGGAAGTACTACATTTCAGAGACACACTCCTAGGAAACTAGGCTCCAATAGTCCTGCCTATCACATGGCAGCTTGCTTAAAGTGCTCTAAAAGACACAAATAGCAAACAGTTCAGTCTGAGCTTCTATTACAGCACTCATTTCTCTGATCCAAAGGATATGAAACAACATAGTGACCATAAGCCAAATAAAAGCAGAATCCAACAGCGTAAAATGACTTGCCAGAAATCTATCCCACATAGAAGATTGTTACAAAAATTGAAGTGAGTAGTATGTTCATTGACTGCATGTAAACGTGTTGACGGAAGACGAAGCACATGAACCTCAAGACAGCTCTCAACAATCGCTCCTGGATGTGAAGCTTGCAGCACACATTAGCCGATATGAGAGGTATGCAAACACTGGTTGGAGCCTTCTAAGTCTCAGAGACTTTTCATAAATCTCAATTCCTTTCTTACTGCATGTCTCCCACTACTTCATTTTTATTATACTAGTGCTCCACTGTCTCTTTCTTACCTTAAAAACACGAGCATATAAAGCTATTTTCCATTTTCTTCTTTTTTTTTTGTCAACATTAGAATGACAGGCAGAAGCAGTACGCGTCTCAACTGAGGGAGGTGTCAGAGCTAGCTGGTTTTGAACTAAGCAGTAGCAATATGAGGGGGCAGCAGGTTGGAGATGCCCTTCTGCAGAGAAGGGACACGCACATCTGCTTCCAGATATGCTGGTGAAGGAGGTTTAGCCAGATTCAGCATCTTAGGACATTGCCAAGGGTCCTCTGACCCTTGGACTATTACCTATTAAACTACTATCTCTTATTATTATTACCACTATTGCCTGGAGGTTTTTTGCCTTTTTTTTCCTATTACTATTACCTACTCACACAGGCACCCATGCTATTAACAAAGGAGACCTAGAGAAAAAAAAAAAAAGAGTGAATAGAAAACTCCAGGGGCAAAGAAGGAAATGGAACCCCAGGGGATATTTGTTCTCCTTGCTCTTTCATGTGAAGTGGAAAAGGCTTGTGGACTAACACTTCCTGTAAGTTAACAACTCACTGCACACTAGCACTGCAGGCAGTGTTTTAATTTTTATGGCCACAAGTACCCCTGAGAAATGAGGGCTGCTAAGTTAGAGATGGGATTCACTTGACGAAGTGGGTTAGGAACATCCTCATCAAACCTGGTGACAAGTGCTTCGAATGAGAGGTCTATCAGGGAACAGTGACAGAAGTTTGCAGTTAAGGGAGGGAATAGAGATTCAGACATGCTAAGAACATGGGTAAGGTTGGTGGGCAGAAGAGAGACCTTGGTAAGAATAAAATATGTTGAAAAGAAAACCACCTCAAGTACCTGTACACAGAACTATGACACCGGAGTAACTGAGACGTGGGATAGCTCACACTACTGGGGCTTTGTCATGGATGCATACCAGCTTTTTAAGAAAGCCAGGAAGGAAAGAACAGCAGGTGAATTGCCCTCTACCTGAAGGAGCAGCTGGAACACAAAAAGCTATTCTACAGGATGGACAACAGGCTGTTTA